CCGGCTGCGCCCACCTCGCTGTCCGACTCCACCAGGACTTGGTCGTACTCGCTCAGGGCCACCAGGAACATGATGGACGTCACGTTCTCAAAGCAGTGGATCCACTTCCTCCGCTCTGACCTCTGTCCCCCGACATCCACCATTCTGAAAGCACACGGTGCCACACAGGACTTGGTGACGGCCCTGAGGCCGAGCTGACACCGCAGGACAGCTCCCCAAAGGCTCTTCCCACGGTATGAAGCTGGACATCAGTTCGAGCCGGGAGCCCCATATCCGGCTGGGACGGGAGAGCCCCCCCATCGGGGAGTGCCCCCACAACTGGCAGAGTCCCCCACATCAGGCAGAGCCAGGAAAGTCCCATCATGTGGTAGGGCCTGGACCCCCCCACCTGAGTCGGAGAGAGCTATCTCCACGGCAGGAGACTGGGCTGCAGGTAGCCGACAAGCCCCCTTGACCATGGCCAGGGTGTCCTGAGCCTACAGACCCTCGCGACAGGCCAGGCGGGGACGTGTGCCACTAGAATCCCACCGCACTGGGGGCATCGAGCAGCAGGAACTGGGGCCAAGCCACTAGGACCCCATGTCCTGTGCCAGGAACCCCCGAGGACAGGAACCTTTCCCCTGGCGGGAGTGACGAGCACAGATGTTGGGCCCAGTGCCTGCCACTGCCGCGTCCTTCCCACAGGAGTCCAGGATGCCCAGGGCCCCTCGTGGCCTCAGCCGGGTCGCAGTGATGGCCGCAGGGATGAGGACAGCCGCCAACACCAGGCACAAGGGCGGGCGGCACACGTCCCGTCCAGCAGGACAAGCCGTGACAGGGGTCATCTCGGCCACAAGCAAGGGGGGCCAAAGGAGGGACGAAGCGCGGTGCGGGCACGGCTCACGGGCACTCCTTCCCCCACTCGTGAGAGTCCACGGCGACCACAGGGAGAGACGCTGGGCTTTTCACGAAGGTGTGGGGTCCCGGGCAGGGGTCCCTGCAGCTCAGTCCCTGCCTGAGCCACCATCCAAGGGCCCGGGGAGCCCCGGGCACGGCGCGTGGTGGGCACCCGTCCACCAGGGTCTGCAGAAGAGAGGCCGCGAGCGGTGAAGGCAGGTGAGCCGGTGACCTTGAAGGACAGAGGGCAGAGACCCCGAGGCCTGTGCTCAGACGCCAGGCCCACACCATGGCTCCAGTCGGGTGGGAAGATCATCGGGGACGCCCTCCTTCGGGAGCAGCAGGCCTGCCACAGGCCCGTGGCGGACAGCCCAGCCAGGCCCGGCCCCCTCCTCCTGTGCTGGGCTGTCACAGCGCGCTCACGGCCTCCAGTCAGGCTGGCTCTCTGCCAGCTCGGGGACCATGACAGGCGACTGGTGGAGGAACGTGTGGCAAAGGGGCGGGCACTGGCAGAGGGGACATGCCCCGGAGGGACCACGGGGAGGTGGCACAGCCAGCCTGAGCTCGGGGCTGAGCCAGAGGGCCCCCGCTGTGCAGGGCCAGCACAAGGCGGAGGGCCCGAGACCCAAGGCCTGGGCCCGCCCGGCCTCAGCCGCACCTGGGGCCAGACTCCACGGGGATAAAAAAGGACACAGAAGCCTGGGTTCTCCCAGCACATGCACATCATGCCCCGCAGAGGGGACGCCCGTGTGCTGTGGGTCCCTGGAGCCTGGACGGGCTGGGCAGGACAGGCCGGAGGGCAGGTGGGAGGCGGCGACCGGCGCACACGGGCTAGGGTGGCCTGAGGCAGCTCTCCGCGAGGACCCCGGCAAGCCCACAGACCCCCACCCTCACGGGAGCCAGCTTCCCAGGCAGCCCAGTCTGGGACAGTCGGACAGGGAGGTGTCGCTGCTCCCTGCAGGCCGATGAGGGGGGTGAGGCCCCACGACCAAGGCGGCTGCACGGAGAGACGGGCTTGCACGCCGGCTGGTGCCCGGGCCGGGCTGGCCAGCATCCCTGCCCCCTCCCGGAACCTGGGCTGGACGGAAAGTGGGGTGGGGCACTGCAGACAGAGGCAGGGTGGGCCTGCACTGGCGTGGGTGGGCCTGACTCGACGTGCCTCGTGTCCTCACACAGGGGCCCAGGACACTGACACATGTGCAAGAAGGATGCCGAGCAGGGACAGGGCAGAGGCCGGGTGAGGCGTCTCTGAGCCCAGGACTGCCGAGGACGGCGGCTCGGCAGAGGCCGGAGAGGCCTGAGCAGCCAGCCTGAGCCCAAAGGGGACCAGCTCTGCCCGCCTCCACCTGGACTCCAGCCACCTGCTCCGGGGACCCGGTCCCACAGCCCCAGGACACGCCCCGAGCCTCGGCCCTGCCCATCGGCTGGAGACACTATGTGGGGGCCCATGCAGGTAGGGTCCACGCGCCCAGAGACGCACTGAGTCCACTCCAGTCGCCATGGGGCACGGACTGGGTCCCCAGGGAGAGCCCCTCCACCCTGCCCCCAGCTGCAACTCAGCCCAGAGCCCGGGCAGCCCGGCGGGGCCCTTGGGGGCCCTTAGGGCCAGGCCCACCCCCATCCTCGGCCGCCAGCCCAGAGTCCCTGCCCCTCTTCTGCTCTGAGTCCCTAGGGCACCCCACCCCCCTGCAGCACCCCCTGCAGCACCCCCCGCTCTGGTCGAACCTTCGGCCACCGGCCCAGCCG